AATCGTATCAACTTCATTGAAGTCATTTGTTGCATCGATTGATATTTGTTTCAATTTTTCTGACAACTCAATTTCTTTATAATTCGTCACGCAAAATAACTTTTGGCTTTGATAAGTAAGTATTGATATTTTCAATGTGTAAATTGAATACCATACCCCGGTTTTTATGCAGAAAAAAGCATAAAAAATATAGTTTTTTCAAAATATAAAATAAGGGTTGCAACCCCTTGGGTCATAAACACACCTCATATCTTCGAATTCTTATGACAAATATTTTCCACTTGGTTTTATTAAAAAATATCAAATAGAATCTGACATATGATAAAAAACAATTTTCGGGGGTAAAATTTAGGCGTGGTTTTTATCCCTTTGAAAAATCCTGAAACACCCCAACTGAAATATTTGATGGAGTTAACGGAAACGCTTTTCTTTATTTTTTTGAGCCCATACCCCGGTTTTTATGCAGAAAAAAAGCATAAAAAATATGGGGGTGAATTTCAGGGGTCGTTTTCCTTATGACAAATATTTTCCACTTGGTTTTATTAAAAAATATTAATTAGAAGTCGAGATATGATGAAAAAACGATTTTTGGGGGTGAATTTCAGGGGTCGTTTTCACCCCTTTAAAGTGGATGTCAGCACAAAAAAAAAATACGTGTCTCTTATTTTGTCGAGGACTACAACATATCAAACAATTATTGAAATCGGTGAGGTTGGGTTGGGGGGGTTTCCTTGTTAGTTGTGTCTAGTTCATCTAGTAATTGCTGATCCGTATTTTCCGAAAACTGTTCCAAGATATTTTCGTACAACTCATAAAAAATAGCGTAGAATGGGGAACCCTTTCCACCGCTAAGTCGTTTAATTCTGCATCATTTTTCAAAATAGCTTCATCAGCATATTCGTCATATCCATGCTGTGCTTCATCAACCGACTCTGTTGCGTGTATATTTTTCATCGAGAGTACGTCTTCCAAATAGGTTTCTAATATTGGGACTTTATAAACCAAGCCAAAAATGACAACGATTATCTTAAAATTGATCGCTACAGCTTGCATTGTTTCGGAATGTATCAATCGTGTTATCAACAAAGCTGCGAGCTTCACATGTTTTTTTGCTTTGAAGATTTTTTTTGCTTTTCGTAGCACAGTCTTCAGAAGAAGTGAAGAACAGTGTGAAGAACAGAAGTTGGTTCATCTTTGATAAATAGACACTCATTGTCATATCATTGAAAGTCTTGAGAGTACTAACTATGAGAGCGATACTAAAATCGGTTTCTATTTTCTTTATGATGACTTTGCGTGCTGTATACTGTTTCATGGCGTGATACAAAGTGGAAAGAAAATATGTAATTTGCGGAACTGTATGTGTATCACTGAGAAATTCAGCAACAGGTAATGGTCCGTACTCTCGACTACCGGGTAGAATCAATGCGTAATAAAAGATCGGCTTTTTGGAGTGTGGTATCTTTGCGACTATTGAACCAGTGGCATCTAAGTAGCAGAATACATCGGTTTTTGGAGTCAAAGATAGCAACGGGCGAGCGACGCATGCGCGTGGTGGTGAATTTCCGCAAGCTAAACGAACCCACCATAGGAGACTCATACCCACTGCCCAACATCAACGAGATATTGGACCAGTTGGGAAAAGCACGATACATTTCGACCCTAGACCTCGCCTCGGGATTTCATCAGATCCCGATGGCGAAAGAAGACAAGGAGAAAACGGCGTTCTCCACTCCGCAAGGGCATTTCGAGTAAAACCGGATGCCCTTTGGCCTAAAAAATGCTCCCCGTACTTTCCAACGGTTAATGAACTCCGTACTAGCAGGACTCCAAGGAATAAAATGCTACGTCTACCTAGACGACATAGTGGTGTACGGAAAGAACCTAGACGAGCACAACGCTCGCCTGAGAGAGGTGTTCCAGCGCCTAAAGGAAGCCAAACTGGCCATACAACCAGGTAAGTGCCAGTTCCTACGAAGGGAAACGCACTACCTAGGCCATATTATCTCGGAAGAAGGTGTGCGAGTGGATCCAGAGAAACTCGCAGCGGTAAAAGAATTCCCCGTACCAAAGGATGTCAAGGGAGTTCAGTCCTTCTTGGGCTTGGCCGGCTACTACAGGAAGTTCATCAGGGATTTCTCGAAAATGGCCAAGCCTCTCACCGAACTTATCCGGAAGGATACGAAGTTCGAATGGACCGCAATCCGAGATTCCGCGTTCGAAGAATTGAAGAAGGCACTGACATCAGCACCGATTTTACAATATCCGGACTTTGAGAAGCCTTTTATCGTGACAACGGATGCGTCCGACAAGGCAATCGGCGCAATCTTGTCTCAGGGCAAGGTCGGAGAAGCCCTGCCAATCTGCTACGCAAGCAGAACGCTGTCTAAAGCGGAGATCAACTACACCACGACTGAAAAGGAGCTACTCGCCATCGTATGGGCGATAGCACAGTTCCGACCGTATATCTACGGCACCCGGTTCAAGGTCGTGACGGACCATCAGCCGCTGACTTGGCTGTTTGGAGTAAAGGACCCGGGCTCCCGACTCATGAGATGGAGAATTAAACTATCGGAACATGAGTTTGACGTGGAGTACAAGGCCGGGAAAAGAAACACTAACGCGGACGCGTTAAGTCGTATTTACGCTACGACAAGGGCCCAGAAGAAGGCGAGGGAAACCTCCGAGCCGAACGGCAGCCTAGGGCCAGAAGAAAGCGCGAAGGACTCTGAACGTCCCAGCACAAAGCTGTGCGGTTGGGGCAGAGATAGCGCAGAAATCCGTATGGAAAAAAGCTCGGAAGAGCAGAGCGAATGCTCATCGTCCTGCAAAGAAGAGAACAACAGTTCGAACGACGAACTTGACTATGGCAGCGGCGTAACCTGCCCCACGGTAGAAGAC